TGCTTGACAGATTGAGGAGTACTTAACCTCTAATCTGGCAAGTACTCGCTCACTAGCGACCCTACGGCACATGCATTGGAGGCGATTCTACCAGAAGCCGAAGCGTTACAAGCATCAGCGTAACTTCGACGATGGAGGAGAACGCCAAGCAACACGAGGTGTCAACAAATGAGGGAGATGCGGACTACTACAACACAATCAGGCGCTCTATCAACCGTACATCGGAGGCACGGATGAGCATACCAGGAATTGCTACCCATGGATACATTGAGGGGAGAAGGAAATTTCTCTTCATACCCTCAAATGAAACCATCACCGACAGCAATGGAGCAACGCATGCGTACCAATGTGCACGTGTTCCTGGTAGTTACGCCTGTTACACCCATCAAGAATACTCTACTGGGAAGAGGAAGTTGATGGATTCTCCTTCAACCGGTACGAGCTGAGAGAATTCTCTGCAGCAGCTGCCGCCGTCACCGTCGTCGCACGCCGCCGCCGCCGCAGCAGAAGACTCGACACAACAGTCACAACCAAATCTTGATGGATGATTCTCCGCTCAATGGAGATAATGCTTGATTATATTCCAGTGGATCGTAAAGTCCCGGCCAGGCACAATACTATGATTTCCAGCTAGTGGGGAGGAGATACCACTATGCGAGGAAACAATAGCTATAGCAATGCCATATACCTTCAAGAGTAGGAGATATTTGCTCTTATGAGGATGGGAGGACTACGGTACTCTACCGGTATACAAGTCCTCATGGCCTATGGCTTTCCTTAAAGTCATAAAACCTGCGTGGCAAACAATCCATCACCAACACCAACTCCACGGAAGCAGATAGGCGTGGAATGGAGCGCCGACGCCACTCCGGATAGTGGACTCCGCATATCTCCTACAACACCCCTGTTTGCCGAAATGGAGCAGACTTCAACATCGAAACCGTCTAGCTGGATGGTCAATCGTGCTCCTCGCAAGGTCAATCAGGTCGAAGCGCAGGAATCCGTGCAGGTTGCTGTAGCTCCCCCTGCTGAGGTGCGCCTTAACATGTTGTTCCCTAGCACTGCCATGATTCATGAGACAATTTCGCAGTGTCCCGGCTCACAAATCACCTTAGCCACAATAGAGTTCACCCTCGACAGTGGGGCCACCCACACAGTTCTCGACGAAGAACACTCCTTCAAGCCATACGAGACACCAATCCCCCTACTAGGAGCAGACTCCAGTTTCACAACACACGCCAAGTGCTCCTCCAGAGTTCCGTGTCCAGCTTTCCCTTTGGGCAGTGTCACCAACATGTGTGTTCCCACACTACGCCACAATCTTGTGGCCCAACATGAGCTCCAACGGGCAGGCGTCACCACGACCTTCCCAGCACACTCAGATCACTGTGACCTCCTCGACCCTAAGTCCAACAAGCTCCTAGCACGCTTCACACTCAACAGCAGCAAGCTCTATACGCTGCGTTCACCTGCATCTCTCGCCGCCCTCTCCCAAGCACAAGTTGCCAGAACCACTCCGTGTTCCTGTCGCAGCTTCGCCAACCCAACCATCCTCTACTACCATCGCTTGGGTCACCCCAACTTTCGTACGCTTGCCGACATCGCTTCCTAGAAACTTTTTCTTGGCCTCCCGTCGACCAACAGAATCACTTGCACCCACCTGCCTGGACCGCACCAAGAGCAAGCTCAGGCAGCAGCCGCACCCTTCCTCCCCATCCATCGCAGCTGCTCCGCTAGACCTAGTGCACATGGATGTCTGGGGCCCAGCTCTAATCGCATCCCAAGGCGGTCATCAGTACTTTCTTACACTTGTCGATGACCACTCGCGGTATGTTTCCGTGCACCTCCTGCATACCGAGGCGGAGGCACCTGATCTCATAATGGCATGGGTGCGCCAGGCTCAAGTCACGTTCGGCACTCCTCTGAAGTGCCTCCATTCTAGTGGGTTGGGGTGTACTCATAAAATCCCAATCTCACCCAATTGTGATTCCCCCAATCTCCAATTACCCAATTGGAGATTTCGAAGATCCCAGTGGGGATTCCTTCCGATTCTCCTTTAATCCATTCCCTCTCACCTTGCCATGTACATATAGAAGCTTGGGCTCAGGGCCTCAGATTTCAGGCAAATTTCCCTGATTCAGGGTTTTTTCAGAGGTTTTTTCGGTACCGACCCTGAAGTGCCAGGATTTTTTTTTCCCTTAACCCTGATAAATCAGAGTGTTTTTATATATGAACTCTGTTTGACCAGCGTAACAACGGTAGTGGGCCCTGACTGTTACAGCCTAGAAACGGGGACCTGCCCTGTTTCCAGTAATAGGCCCCCACCCACCCCCCCCCCCGGAGATTCCCATATGTTCCCCGTCAGTCACGCCGAGCCGACCAGTTTCCCACCCAAATCTGCGTCGTGGTGGCGATTTTTCCGCCAGCACATAATGTGTTGTGGCTAAGGGATTGGGCGACGAGTGTTTGACAGAATGTGCTGTCGCTAGCATAGAGCGTGACTGCGTGACGTGGTTGGACACCAAGAAATCAAAAGTATAGCAACCAATAGAGAACTGGCAACTTACAGCAACCTTGCATTTTGCTGCCATACTGATGTCACTATCGGTGTGCACAGCATCTTGCCTGCCAGCACTGCGTTTATGACAAGATTCCTCATGAACCTTGCCTAGCATGCAGGCAAGGTCACCGTGCCGCGCCCCGATCCATTCCCACAAGCTACCCCCATCTGGTTCATCTTCATCTTCAACGGTTGTTATACTTGCCTATCTCCCCCAGTTCTTTCGTTCCTCGAGTAGCCATTTCCTCTTCAATTGGTAGTTCCTCAAAAGCTGTGTCTCACCCCGTCATGGGAGAGCCAGTCGACGGGGAACTGGCTGATGGTGATGCAGATGATGGCCAGCGTGCGGACCTCACCACTGGCCTGGACCTGTTGCTCTCGACTTTATCTAGCCTTACGCGCATGCCTCTTAGAGGAACCACACGTCTCGGCCAGGAAGAACCAGACGAAAAAACCGCCGGCGATTCCGTATTTGCTGCAGTCATAGAGCATGACCCTAATCCTAAGCCCGGTCCCTCCACGCCTGCTCCTGCCGAGCATCTGTCGCCCACGGTTGGACCTGCTAAGCGCCCTGGGCGCTACCGTCAGGCTGTTCTCCCATTCGCACGGCCCAAACAGGCTAGCGAAGTGTCTCCACCGTCCAACCCCGCTTCCGATGATGCTGACTCAGAGGACGACACGACGATGACTACCAAGAAGGCGAGAACCCCGACTGAGCAGTATGCAGAGGCGCTCAGTAAATACAAGAAAAAATGGAGCGACGCTTTTCCTTGGCTTTTGCTTGTCAAGACTGAAGAAGGCCTCCCGGCCTTCAAGTGTCAGTTGTGTATGGACCATGCAGGTCTCTCAGGGAAGAGCGGACGCCGTGGCCCTGGTCTCTCGGACGCCCAGACACAAGCCTTCACCAGACACGCTAGCACTGGGAAGCATCGTCTCGCCTATGGAAAGCAGGCTGCTCTGTTGCAGGAGGCAACGACGCAGACGAGGATCGACCAGAATCCCCGTGCCGCTGATCTTGAGAAGGAACGGCTGACAGCGCTTCTCGATTCTCTCTACCTCTGCTGCAGGACGAACGAACCGATGGAGACGTGGATCACATTTGCACGCTACCTCGCCTCTCGGTTCTACAAAAACGTCCCCGAGGAAGGTTACGGCACCTACCTGAACTCGTGAGTCGTCAAATTGGATGTCTGGTCCTTGATGTTTTTTAATGCGACTACCCTAACTTATTTTGTTTTTTCCGGTTGTAGATACGGCTTCGGAGAATTCACGCAGGCCACGGCTACATGGCTTCAGACAACTCAACTGGAGCATCTTCTGCGGAGCCCGTTCATCGGCCTCAGCCTGGACGAGAGCACGGATAGGTGCCGGGGGAAGCACATGATCGTGTTCGCGACCTTCCTTCGTGAGCATCGGGTGGTCACGGAGTACCTGGCTCTTCTCACAGTCGACAAGGCGGACGCTGCCTCCCTTCTGGCGTTGTTGCTCTCCCACCTCCAGGCTATCGGAGTGGATCTTCATCGGATCTCTGGCATCAGCACTGACGGGGCAGCAGTGATGATGGGCGCGAAGTCTGGACTTGTTACTCGTCTCCGACTGCGCATTCCTCACCTCGTCTCCTGCCACTGCATAGCGCATCGGTAACCATGTGGCTTTTTGCATTCGTATTTCGGCCTGGCGAGTAGCCATGTATATATTGCCTTGTCTAACTCTCCCTTATACTGTTCATGTTCTGTGCACGTCTATGCGCAGTGAGGCTCTGGCCGCCAAGGCCGCGGCCGATGAGCTCCCCGCCTTCATGATGATCGACGATGTCATCCGAGAGCTCGCTGAGTTCCTCGGACGCTCGGGGCCGTGGCATCAACGCTTTCTCGAGCTGCAGGATGTCTTCCTCTCGACGGCGCTTGAGCTGCAGGGTATTCACCACGTTAGGTGGCTTTCCCGCGGGGATGCCATCCAACGGTTGGTGAAGGTTTTGCCGGCAATCATCGTGATGCTGTCTGAGTTCCCAGACGATAGGCTGTATACCATTGTTACTAGCTATCGTTTCTGGTTTCTCTTGATGTTTCTGGCGGATGTGCTTGAGCAGATGAACACGCTCAACAAGATCTTCCAGGCTCGTCAGGTAAAGTTAATGTGTGTATTTGCTTAACTGTTGGACTGACATATTTCCGTGCCTGACCTGTGTGCACCACCCCCTCCTTGCAGCTGGACATCTCCACCGTCCATTCGTCCATCGCTCGCGTGAAGTCCCTGCTCCTAAGCGGCTACGTCGACTGCGGCGACGACTTCAACGGGGCGCCGAAAGACCGGCTCACGGAGTTCCTTACCCTTCACGGCCCTTCCGGTTCGCGGCGCGTCACCGTTGAGGGCGTTGACTCGGACGGTCGCCCGCGGTGCTTCAGCTTCATCCTGCACATGAAGGACATTGGCTATCCGGGCGAGGGAAAGCACGATGACTGCGTCACGCTGTGCATGGCAATGGCGGAGGGCATGGCCAACAATTTGGAGGAGCGGCTGGGTGACTTGAAGCAGTTGAGTGGCGTCATGCTGTTTTGTGCCGACCAGTGGCCGTTGCTATGGGCACGTGCGGCCAGGATCAAGCAGTGCATTGAGTGGTTCCATTCCCTTGTACTTCTGTACCACGCGGAGGGAGCTGAAGAGGTCTTACCAGGTAAGGGTTTAGCTCAATTGAAATGGTCTTCTTCGTCAGGTAGTCTGCGGCCATTTCTGTTGTAGGGCAGTAACTGAGTTGAAGTCTCCCCTTCGCGATTTCATCTTTGACGAAAAAGTACCGCAGGGCAATGTGTTTGGTTCGGTTGGCGAAGCCGTCCTTGTTCGCGATTTTGATCGCAGTTTGGTTGTCGCAGAGGAGTGAGAAGGCGGGCAGGGTCGCGATCTTCGCTTCCTCGAACAACTCTCGTAGGTAGAGTCCTTCCTTGGTCGCAGTGCAGAGGGCGATATATTCTGCTTCAGCCGAAGATAGTGCGATTAGTTCCTGCTTGCTCGACTGCCAGGAGATAGTCCCGATAGATTCTAGTCGGTAGATGTAGCCCGTTCTGGATCGTCGATTTTCCCTGTCTCCCGCGTGGTCGGCGTCGACGTATCCGAGTAGTCGTACGGACGGTGTTGTTACTTTGCTGTAGGTAAGCCCGGTCGTCGGCGTGGAGACGAAGTAGAGTAGTGCCCGGTTGAGCTCCTCGAGATCTTCTTGTTCCGGCTGTTTCAGATGCGTCGCCAGTTGGCTCGCGCTATAGGAGAGATCGGGTCGGCAGGTTACTGCTGCGAATAGTAGGCAGCCGAGCTTCTGTTGATACTCCTGGATTTGCTTCGCGGGGAGTTTTGCGGAGGTGCTGTTGTTGTTCCCGTAGCGGTAGGGAGTTGGGACCGTAGTCGGCGTTAGACCGAATTTCTTCGCGACGGTGCCTGCGTACTTTCCAGCGTGTAGGTAGAACGCCGAGTTGTCTTCGACTACATTCAGTCCCAGGTACTGGGTCACTACATCGGACACCGTGAGTGTCAAGTCTTCTTTCAGCTCCCCTTCGAACCAGGTGGCGATGTCGGTAGTGGAGCCGATGTAGAGCAGGTCGTCGACGTAGACGATGAGAAGGATAAAGGCTTCTTTCTTCTGTAGTCGATATATGCCTTGGTCGTGCGGCAGCTGTAGGAAGCCGATTTTTGCGAGGCGACTGTGAAGATGCTGCTGCCAGAGTCGCGGGGCTTGCTTGATCCCGTAAAGGGATTTTATCAGCTGGCATACTTTTGTAGGGTCGTCGATGAATCCGTGGGGCTGCTCGACGAAGATTTCAGCGTCCACAGGTGCGTACAGAAAGGCGTTTGCGACGTCGATTTGGCGCAGTGGTAGTTTCTTCGTGGCCGCGACGGCGAGTAGGATGCGCAGGGAGGTGTGACGGGAGACTGGGGCAAAGGTTTCTGTGTAGTCGGTTCCGTATCGTTGATCGAAGCCTCGTACGACCCATCGAGCTTTGAATCGTTCGATGGTGCCGTCCGCGTTGGTCTTGATACGGTACACCCATTTTCCCGAGAGGACGTTCTTCCCGTTGATGTTTGTTGCAGGTACCAGCTTCCATGTATCTCGGTCTTGCAGAGCCTTTAGTTCCCTTTCCATCGCCTCCTTCCATTTTGCCTTATGCTCCCCCCCCAGAGCCTGCGACAGAGTCGAAGGCTCGCGCGGAGATGGCGGCGGCGGATGCTGGACGGAGACCCAGAGGCCGAGGATCTGCAGTCCCGTGGGTGTGTGTCGAGGGGAATTTTCATTCCCGGAATAAGCTGCTTCGTCACCATCTTCTGGATCAGGTAAGAAGTTTGGGCCGATGCGTTCTGAAACATTCGTGTCGACAGGGTGGGGTGTAACGTAACCTTGGTCAGCGAAGTGGTAAAAGGTGTCGAGGTTGTTGCTATCGAGGGGATTGTCTTCGTCGAGTGGAACAGGTACGGAACAGAAAGGGAGTGGTCCGGCAGCTTCCGAGGCTCCAGGTACGTCTTCTTCTGCTGCGTCAGCCTCGGCAGCACGGTCGGCGAAGGAACGAAGGCCCGCGAAGCCGTCGGTGGGGTCATGTGTGTTGGCAATGTTGTCCAGGTAATGCTGCAGCATCAGTCGCTCGTAGAAGATAACATCACGTGATGCCACCGTATTCTTGTCGTGTATGTCGAGGATTTTCCATGCGTGAAAATGTTTGGCGATGCCGAGGTGTAGTCCCCACCGAGCTCGTTGAGTGAAGCGTCCCGCTCGGGCTGTGTGGGGTCTGTACTGTACCATGCAGCCGAAAACTCGAAGTAATTTTGTGCTGCCCCTTTTTCGTGTCCACAGCAGGTGCGGTGATGCATTGTTGGGGAGCGATGACGAGGAGAGCAAATTGTGCAGGTGGACTGCATGGGTCATCGCGTCTGGCCACAGTGCGTTGGGCAGTCTCATCCCCAGGAGCAGCTTCCGCATCGTCGTCTGCAAGGTCCGGTTCATTCTTTCTGCGACCCCCTGTTGCTGGTGAGCGTAGGGTAGAGACACCAGGCGTCTGATTCCTCTTTCCGCCAGATAGGTCATGAAGCGTTGTGACTGGTATTCCAGTGCACCATCTGACTGGAAGCTCTTGAGCTTGGTTCCTGATTCTCGTTCGGCGATGGGGAGCCATGTCGTGAAGGCGTCGAAGGCTTGATCGCGCGTCTTGAGGTTGTAGTGCCAAACATATCTTGTTGCTGCATCGATGAAAGTGATGACGTAGTTGTAGTCGGCCTCCGTGTCGTCTCGAGGCATGTTTAAGATGTCGCTGTAAACTTTTTCCATCGGTGCATATGCAGGCGCACTTGGATTGTGATGTGATGGGAAGGGTTGATGGGGAAGATCTTCTTCGGGGCACGTGAAGCACCGTGCGCGAGATCTTCGAAGTTCTTGGCCGCTTCTTGTAAGAAGAGCGTTTCGTTCTAATACTTCGGCTTGGATTGTTTGTAGTACGGTGCTGTTTGCAGGATGCCCAAGTCGTTTGTGCCAGATGTCGTCGGAAGCTCGATGGCCGGGCGAGCGTTGGTACATGTCGGTGTTGGAGAAGAACGCGACGACCGTGGCGGGACTTCGGCAGACTTCTCGTGTGATGGGCATAAGTTGATCTGCTTCAGTTGGCGGTCCGCGGATCGCTGGTGGTGGTACTCGGCTGGGTCCTGCTGCTGCTACTGCAGGTGATGGTTGGGAAGGGACACTTGCTGGTACTTGTCTTTCTTGTCCGATGACTGCTAATGCTCGTGTTCTCTCTGCTGCAGGTATGGTGTTGGAATACCAGAATCCATCGGGGTTGAAGTCGGGATCAAGATCCGGCGGGTGTGTCCAGGCGGCGAACGACACAATCCCATCGCTGTCGGCAGTACCGCGGTCGGGGACGAAGTCCAACACGAAGACGCCGGACTTCAGGAGAGCACGACCGATGAAGAGGCCGCCTTTCCCGTGGTAAAGACGAAACTCGTTGGAGTAGGAGTCGCACTCCAGGTGAATCCCTTTTGCCATTAGCTGGCTGACGCTTAGTAAGTTGTATCCCAAGTTGTCGATGATGAGGACCTTGTTGAGTTGAAGTATAACGTTTGTCTCCATGGATTGTAACTGAACCACTCCTTGTCTGTTTGTTTTCAGGTTTTCGTTGTTGGCGACGGTGATGATGACGTCGCGGGTGAGTCGTCGCTTTCGTTGCACGAAGCGTCCGGAAGAACACATGTGTTGACCGCAGCAACTGTCCAAGAACCAGGTGTTTCGCCCGGTGGGTTCGGCGTTGGCGACGACAGCGTATGTCGGGTTGACCTCAAGTCCTTGTGAGCGCGGCGGCGGAAGTTCTTCTTCGTCTGGTGCGTAAGTGGGTGGTGATCCGGGTGCGCAGTTGTCGATGTGTACCATACAATTAATGATGTTCGGTGTCCCTTGTGCAGATGCGGAAGAGCGCCTTGGAGGGCTTTCTTGAGTGGAGGCGACGTGTGGGTCTACTGGACGATAAACACGAGGACGTGTGCAGTTGAATTTGGAATGTCCGGAAGTTTTACAGTTGTGGCAGAACGGCGGCACGAAGGTGAGTCCTCTGTTGTCGCGTTGATCTTGCTTGCCGCGTCGATTGTAGTTGTTGTCGTTCCTTCGTTGAGTGTAGAAAACTAACTGTTGCTGCTTCCTTGGTTGTCGTTCTTCGAACAGGTCCATCTCCTGTTGTTCAGCGTGAAGCTCGGCGCAGAGGTGCATCTCTGAGATTCTTCCGTGGGCGCAAAGAAGCGAGCGTGTGGTTCTCCATTCTGGTCCGAGCCCGGCGAGAACAAGCGTCACGAAGCTTTCCTCAGTGATTGTTCCTCCGCACCGAAGCAGGCGGTCGCGAAGGGTCTGGCAGCGACTCATATACTGCATCGCCTTTTCCCCTGTCTTCATATGTATTGTTGTCAGTTGTTGCATGAGTCTGCTTTGTGTCACGCTGTCGTTTGCTTGATAGAGACACTTGAGATGATGCCATGCGAGTTCCGCGGAGTTTCCATAGCTTCGATATGTTCTGATGCTCTGCTGTTCTTGTGGTGACAGGTTCCGCAGGAGAACTGTGTACGCCAGCAGCGACTGATAAGTAAATATTTCTTGCTCCTTTGCAGTGCCGTTGCTTGGGAATGGCAGGGACCCATTGAAGTATCCCAGGAGATGCGCAGCCTCCATCAGCAGCTCGAACTCAAAACTCCAGATAAAGAAATCGTGTCCGTTGAATGATGATGATGTCTGCAGTTTAATCACGTGTGAGAACTGCGCCTGGAGACTTAAAATCTCGTTTGGTGTTTGTTGTGATGCAGCTGCTGTTGGTTGGGCACGGGGCGGCATGAAATCGAACGTCCCCGGTGAAGAGTGATAAGGCGCAAAGGTAGGCGCTTGATTGTGTCGCCCGAACGATGAATTGTCGAGGCTCATCGGTGCTAATCCCATGTTTCCTCCGTTGCTCTGTGTTGAATGCGCAGGTGTCCTTGTCTGCTGCTGCTCGAAGTGCGACATGAAGCTGAAGAACCTTTCCATAAGGTTCGGGTCCGCGCTTGAAGAGGGTGATGGAGTCACCATTTCCGGTGCTCTTCCTGTTGTTTCTTGAGCAGCGCCGGTCTCGGTTTGCAGTCCTGAAGTATGCAATCCAGAGTTGTCGGGTTGAGTGTCTTGGGCGCTGGGTGAGCCCGTAGAGGTTTTTTTGCCCTTGCTGTCCATGGCTTGTAATTAATGAAGTCGTTGAATTGCAGATTGTAGGTAGATCGTAGTTGCTGGGAGTTTGGTCTCTGACCAGCAGGGCCTCAGATAGGATTTTAGGCATACTGATCAATCAGGGCGGGCCCCCAAAAAAACGTGTAGCAGTCAGGGTTGGTGGCTTATGTTCAGACTGATTCCTCAGGGTGGTTCTCCGCTCTATACTTTGGCCTCAGGGTAAATTCTCAAACGCTTGACATCTCAGAAGTCACTCTAAACAGCAGCAGCAGCACACTTGGCTTCACGCGTTGTGATGGGTTGAGGCACGAGTGGCCGAGTTTGCGTCAACTGTAGCGCACGAGGTAATCAGACCAGGAAAATTTTCTTCGTTTGACTGTCAGACAGAATTTTGCTGAGACCGGATGGGCGTTCAGCTTAAAGCGAATGAAGCCCCTGAAAACTCTGATGAAGTCAACGACAAGAAACGAAAAGTTGCATGAAAAAAACTGCAGTTCGATTTCCATCAAGCGGTTATGACGGCGTTTGACGAGGCTGGATGGTGAGGGCGCATTCCTCGCATGTGGCACACTCTATGGCAAGTCATTCTGTTTCCCAATTCAATGTGCAGGATCATCTGAATTTGTTTCTGGTAATCTTGACCGTGGAAAAACTTATAAAGTTAGCCACGAAGTATTCTGCCAAACGTGACGAATAATCCCTGAGTTGCAGTACTTGACGAGATTTTGAATCGACGTAACCTGGGCATCACGAATTCTATGAGGACTAGGCCAGAATTTTAGGGCTGCATAGAAGTTGTAGAAGTATGTCTATGGCAGGGAGAACTTAGCCGAAAAGTTTTAGTGAGTAGGGGGTGGGGCGGGGGGAGGATTGTCTCTAACTTTTAGGACTTCGCCGAAATTTTAGAGCAGCGGGGGGGTTTCCGAGGATTGTCTCTAACTTTCAGGACTTAGCCAATTTTCGGGGGTTTTCGGAGGGCTGTTGCGACGTTTGAGGACTTAGCCGAAATGTAAAATTCGAGGCAAGGGCTACCCTAGTGGCGCACGTGCATTCAAGATTCGAAGAATCAGGGTTGTCCCCGAAGGCATACTGACAGCTCAGGGCTGGTACACGAACACTTTACTGAATCCTCAGGGTTGCACTACGATTTAAACTGAATTCACAGGGTGAAAAATGAGCTTAAACGGATTTTTCAGGTTTGGCACCTAACAGGCATCCTGAAAATCAGGAATTCAGGATAAAACATCCTGATATCTGAGGCCCTGCTGACCAGCTCTCATACCATATTGGTCTGAGAAAAGCCCTTAGGATCTTTCCAGAGACTAAGTCCCGGTTGTAGAGTGAGACTTGAGTAGTGCAGCGGAAGTTTGAGGCAGCGGAGTACTAGTATATGAGAACAAGTGATTGATTAAAGAAACAAGCATGCAGCAATATATAGAAAATAAGAAAGCAGTTGTAGAATACAGTTGCAGGAACGGTTATCGAGTCGCACAGCGACTCGATTGCCGCTTCGGTTACCATCCGCGCTGTTGTAACGGTCAGTCGCAACCTCCAGTTGCGACCCTTCGAGTCCCTTCGCGTTCTTTTTTCGCCCCCTCGTGTAACCTCCGTTGACTCGCGTACCCGTTGCGGTCTTCCTCGAGTGTAGTGTTACACTTCAGAAACGCTGAAGTCCTTCGAGATATTTCCAACAATGTGCATGACTTTGTTAGATTACGAGCCGAACTGGGATGCCGTGATAGAGATTTGGAGATCTTACAAGAAGAGAAAGCCGTATAGCTGCGCCCCACAGAGCAGGGCTCAGAAGAGCTGCAAGGGAAAGGAACTAGCTGAAGACGTGCTTGGAGAAAACCATGATAGTAGAGCTGAGGAGGATGCAACCCTGTTAGTTCAGGATTTTTTTTTTAGCCAACTCTGTCAGCTCAGCAAAAAAAAATTATGTACTCCTGAAAAATCAGGGAAGGAGGGGGGGACCCTGAGCAATCAGGGTACCTTAAAACCAATCTGAGGCCCTGCTTGGGCTCCTTACCTAATTACTCCTTTCCGCCGTACTTATCGACGCGATGGAGCACTTTGGACATTTCGGATTCATACTGATGCGAAGCTCTATTTCTTAGACACAGACCCATCAGCATAGTATGGAGTTTCGCATGCACCTAGACTACTATACGCAGCCTAGACTAGTCACATGCTGCTCGGACCAGCACGGGTGTGCATGCCACGTGAACCAGCTGCTTCCAGGTACTTCGACGCCTTGCATCTGGCGTCAGCACCGCTCGTCAACACCTAGCTGCCTGCTGCTGCAGTAGGGTTTCCAACACTTGTCACATACCGTCCTTCCTTTTCCCTTCGTTTATTCATGATGCCACTTCTTTCTTACAAT